CCCCTTTGGACATCCCAAAACAATATAAAAATTATCTAAGACAGCTATCCCTTTATCCATTCTCTTTTTCCAAATTCATCTCACAAAAAGAATCAACAGACATCTTTACCGTTATAGAACATCTGAAAAACGAAGTTCAGGAAAAAAAAAAGTTTATTTCTGAGCAGCATCTTGCTGATCAATTTGGAGAAAAAATGTATGTTAAATCAAAACAATCCCGAATCACATAGAAGTGTTATTAAGAGCTACATAATCCATGCTTGACAGCAACAGTACAGGAATATGTACCAATCCTAAATGCTAAATAAATTAGAAATCAGAGAATACTCAGCAAAACATGTTTGTCACTACCTTTGTTAGTAAAAGCTAGCATATGAATGATAATCGGTAAGTATGAACAGACAAAAACAGAGAAATTATCATAGGAGAAACGGCACTAAAGGATCAGAGAGCAGGAAAAGGACCTGGAACCATGTATCGCATGCCAAAATTCACTAATTACAAATATTTCCATTCAACGGAGTAAAGCATGAACTGAAACAGGAAAGAGCAGTAAATCAATTGATAAAGGAGTGCATATGCATAGCAACATTGGTAATTGTAGAGTTGCACAGATAACAAAGAGAAAATGAACAGTGTGCAAGCAGCATGAGCTAATGTTTTGCCCACAATAAATTAAACTAGAATCAGATCAAATACCAGCAGCAGATTTCATATCATACGTGGGCACAGTGAAAGCTTGTTTCTCTCCGAGTACAGCATTTGAAACAGTAGACGATATGACAGAAGCCAATATGATCATTGCAGTTGTAAATGGAGGTGAGTTTTCTGCACGAAGTGGTCTTAAAACTGTTTCAATTGCAAAGAAACAGCCAGCCACTGCTGCATTGAAACCTGCAACACAAAAGAATTAAATCTTGAATATTCATCCAACAGTTGATGAACGCTCCTGCAGAAGATGCAGAGAGACAGATCTTTCATTGAATCTGGACAAAATTCAAAAGCAAAAAGTTAAGGCTGTCCTTAAACCTTGTAAAGCTAAACTCCCCTCCATGATGAAGCACACACTCACAAGTGCACTTTTGAAGATAAATACACACATGTACGCATGTGGATGAGATATACACAAACATAATAGGTAAATGCATTTTGATCACAAAATCCCTGTTTTAAACTGCTTCATTTTTAGGAGGAAACCGAGGAAAAAACTCTTTTAAGAACGAAGAATAAGGTGGGACAGCATACAGCTTTTGTTTCTGATCCTCTTAATGTCCCTTGAATATTTGAGACAAATCATAATCCATAAATTTTATACACAGACTAGAAAACCTTCCAAACATGATAATTTTGCAATACTCATCTATTCATTAAGGCTCTGTAATTAAGCAAGAAAATGATCATCCACAAAAACTTCCAAACATGAAAACTATGCAACAATCATGTATGTGTAACAATTTTGAGATCGAGCAACAAATGTTGTCAAGTACAGATAATTCTCAATGAGAAGCAACATACCTGAAGCAATTCCAGCAGCTGCACCAGCAGCGACAAGAGCTATTCTCCTTTCTCGGTTGTTTTCCATCATCACTGAGCATCCATAGGCACAAGATTTTCCTATATCTACACTAGGGCCTTCAGGACCTAAAGAACAACCAGTTCCCAAAGTCACAGCTGCCTGAATTGCCTTTACAGTAGGGAAGATTCCAGCTAATAAATCCAATCCTTGTCCCGGTGAAGAACTGGATTGTGTTATTTGGTCCAATATTTCAAGCAGACCATGCAGCATGCCCACAATGACTCCACCAAGGACTGGTATTAGAAGTATCCGATGCCAAGTGTCAGCTAGCCTTTGCAAGCGAAGCCAAGCAGCTCCCTCATTAGGAGTACCAGCCCAAGCCCACTCATGTACTACATGTACCTAAACAGATATCCTCATTGTCATACAATGTCTGGGATGCAATACGGTTCAAACTACTGGTCTATCATCAAAACAGAGTCACAAATACAGTTTGAGAAAAATATCCAAATTCTTTCCTTTATTTGACATTACAAGCCACAACAACAACAACATAATACCACGTATTATCCCACTCCGTGGGGTCTGGGGAGTGTAGTGTGTACGCAGACCTTACCCCTACCTTGTGAGGATAGAGAGGTTGTTTCCAATAGACCCTCAGCTCAGGATAGTATAAGTACCACATTAATGAAAATATAGGCAAGAAGGGACAATATCAAAAAGCCATATAAAAGCAGAATAAAACAACAAGACAGTAAAGTGATCAACAATGAAAGAAAATAACGGTTAGTCATAAAAATCTGCTACCAACAGAAAACGAGAATGCGTGCCAATACTAATGTTATGAACACTCTACACTACCTACTCTACTACCCTAATTCTCGACCTCCATATCTTCCTATCAAGGGTCATGTCCTCGGTCAGCTGAAGTTGCGCCATGTCTTGCCTAATCACCTCTCCCCACCTCTTCTTTGGCCTACCTCTACCTCTCCGTAGGCCCTCCAATGTCAACCTCTCACACCTCCTCACTGGGGTGTCTGTACTCCTCCTCCTCACATGACCAAACCACCTAAGTCGCGCTTCCCGTATCTTGTCCTTAATAGAGGCCACACCCACCTTATCGCGAATAACCTTATTTCTGATCCTATCTAACCTGGTGTGCCCGCACATCTATCTCAACATCCTCATCTCTGCTACCTTCATCTTCTGGACATGAGCAATCTTGACTGGCCAACACTCAGCCCCATACAACATCGTTGGTCTGACCACCACTCTGTAGAACTTACCCTTAAGTTTTGGTGACACCTTCTTGTCACACAAAACACCGGAAGAGAGTCTCCATTTCATCCATCTCGCCCCAATACGATGTGCGACATCTTCATCAATCTCCCCATCCACCTGAGGTACTTAAAACTCCCTCTCCTAGGGATGACCTGCGAGTCCAGCCTCACCTCCCCTACCCCTCCTAGAGTCTCGCCACTGAACTTATACTCCAAGTATTCTGTCTTGGTCCTACTCAACTTGAAGCCTTTAGATTCCAAGGTCTGCCTCCATACCTCTAATTGCACGTTCACACTGTCTCGCGTCTCGTGAATCAATACAATATCATCTGCAAATAGCATGCACCACGACACCTCCCCTTGGATGTGGCGCGTCAGTACGTCCATCACCAGAGCAAACAAAAACGGGCTGAGTGCCGACCCCTAATGCAACCCCATCATAACCGGAAAATGGTCCGAGTCCCCACCCACCGTCCTCACTCGGGTCTTTACTCCATCATACATGTCCTTAATCAACCTAACATAGGCAACAGGTACACCTCTAGCCTCCAAACATCTCCACAAAACCTCCCTCGGAACTTTATCGTACGCCTTTTCTAAGTCGATGAACACCATATGCAAGTCCTTCTTTCTCTCCCTATACTGCTCCATCAATCTCCTAACAAGATGGATGGCTTCTGTAGTCGAACGCCCCGGCATAAACCCAAGCCATAATATTATAAAATTGGTCCTCTGTATACCCCATTCCCCAAAAACAAAGCAACTCACGTCGTGAAAAATGTGTCAGCTCATTATCTTAAGCCTCTACTTCTGAAAACTTCAACCCACAGGAAAAATAGATGAATAAACATAAACAAGATAAGTGCTTTGAGATTCAACATGCAGATTTCATGGCACGGCAGCTCAGTATCTGCCTTTTTCCTTCCAGTAACAACTATATGAAGCTAACTTTACAAAAACTCCCCACTCAGTTTTCTTATTTGTAAAAGCTATCAGGAACAAAAAAAGAAAAAAGGATAATCACCAATATCAGAAAAGCAGCAGAACAAAATAAATGACATGTCTATAATTCCTGAAAGAAGTTCAGACAGCAATAAATCATAAAGCTCTAGCCTTTTTCACAGTTGGTGGAACTTAACCTATGAACCAATCAATCAACAATGCCTCAACCACAAACTAGTCATTATCAGCTATTTGAATCCTCTATATCCAATTCCACTCTATTCCAACTCATTTTATTTCATTACCAGCAAATTATTTGTCTTTTAAGCTAGCTTACGGGTTCTATGAACATGAATTCAAAACTAAACCATTCAGTAATACTCCCTTTGTCCCAATATATGTGGCACAATTTCCTTTTTAGACCGTACCAAAAAAAATGATATCTTTCTATTTCAGAAACAATTTAACTTTAACTTCTCATGACCACAAGTTTCAACATACTTTTCTATGACAAGTCAAAAAACATCACATAAATTGGGAGGGAGGGAGTATTACTATCTACATTGCAATGAAAACTAGTAAGAATCCTGACGACTAACCCCACGATTGAAAGCCACAACACAAAGTCCAATAGCGAGGCCAAGGAGACATCCAACTAGCAGCAATGCCCACTCCGGCGGAGCACTATCACCGAGAATTTCATCAGCGCAGACGTTACCAGAACCGCTAGTAGAAGCAACACTGTGGTCCCTATCAGAACGCTTTAAACTCGACGATCGTCTATTCGAAAATCCTCGATCCAAACGCTTTAATAGATCCGTAATGCCTTTACTACTACCAGTCTTATGCGGTAACTGACCTTCTAAATCTCCGTCCGACGCCGATGAATTCGAACGTAACAGGACGTTGTGATCGCCGCTATATTCGCCTACGGACATCTCTCACGCGCCTTTAACACAATGTCATTTCCGTAAAATAGAGCATACGAATTGTGTAGATTCGGTAAATGCTTGTTCTAGAAAGTTCTCTGGAGATTCGAGAAGGTTTTAGGAGTATTTGAGGTACCGGAGGCCGGAATCGGAGAGCCGGAGGTGGAAAATGTGGTGGAAATGGCCACTTATTGGCGTCGGTGAAGGCTGAGTTTAGCGGCTTACGGCGGACAGTGGTCGGTGAATGGTCCAAGCTCGAATTAAAGATTCATATTTCAACTTTATTTTATGTGTTTTTAATTAGTAAAAATCCATACTTTCTTAACTTATTAATGCAATGTTATCATAGTGTTATCTTAGTTTTTTATTGTAAAATAAATGACAAATAGTATATTAATCGTTCTCTATTTTTTCTCTGTGTATAGATGACAAGAGAATGTAAGTCATTCCACAATTTCCTTCCAAATAATTTTAGGTTTGAATGTATTTTTTTAATATCTTTACTTATCATGGTTTCACATCAATAAATCGGTGCCTACGTATTACATAATCAAACCTATCTCGTATTTTTTGTCGACGAGTTCTACTTGAATTTTATTGAGTGGTTATTTCTAATCTCATGTATGTTGCATATTCATACCTATGCAATACTCATTTGTGGGTATATGTTAGAATTTTAGTAGTCCAATATTTAATTACGTATATCTGTATTGGTTTTATAACTGCACTATAAAACTTACTCATAAGCTTCCTTCTGTCACATAATACCTTAGTAACACTTCGGAATTCAATCATAAATAATTTCTTCATTTCTCCTATACTCTCATATGATCTCATGTTGATCGCTTGTTAGTTATTATCGGGATCATATTTTTATAAAGTGGGAGATTTTGGTGAAATCATAAATCGCCTGTGTGTTATCTAGAAATCGTCCATGTATTACTTATAATCCAGTGATCTCCGGTTGATTGTTTATTAGTTATTGCCATGGTTACTTTTTTATAAAGAGGGAGTTCCTGGTAAAATCATAGATCGTCTATGTATTATCTAAAAATAGCTCATATATTATTTATGATCGCCTAAGTGATCTTTGATTGATCACTTATTAGTTATTACCAATATTATTTTTTTTATAAAATAGGAGATCGTGATAAAATCATAAATTGCCTAGTGTTATAGATCGCCTGTAATGATCCGTCCGGCCGTTTTGAGTGTTGTAGCCCCGTTCCCCAATTTACTGCTCATTTTATGCTTAATTATTATTATGTGACTTGCCGGGGTAATTGATTCGGTTCCGGGGATGTTTTGGAATGCGATGAGACACTTAGTCTCAAGGTTGGGAGCTTAAGTTGAAAAGGTTGACCGGATGTTGACTTATATATAAACGACTCCGGAATAGAGTTTTAATGATTCTGATAGCTCCGTTTGGTGATTTTGGACTCAGGAGTGCGTCCGAATAGTGATTTGGAGGTCCGTAGTTGAATTAGACTTGAAATGACGAAAGTTGGAAAATTAAAAGCTTTGGAAATTTAGAAGTTTGACCGGGAGTTGACTTTATGGTTACCGGGCTCGGATTTTGATTTCGGGAGTTGGAGTATGTCCGTTGTGTCACTTATGACGTGTGTGCAAAATTTAAGGTCAATCGAACTTGATTCGATAGGTTTCGACAACGATTGTAGAAGTTGTAATTCCTTAGTTTTCATTAGGCTTGAATTGGGGTGTGATTCGTATTTTTGATGTTGTTTGATGTGAATTGAGGGCTCGACTAAGTACGTATTAGGACTTGTTATTGTGTTTGGTTAAGGTCTCGGGGGCCTCGGGTAGAGTTCGGATAGTTATCGGATCGAAAATGGGACTTAGAGCATTGCTGAAGCTGGGAGCCTTTTGGTGTGATCGCACCTGCGAGGAGATTGGCCGCAAGTGCGGCAGATGTAGCGCAGGAGTGGAGCTGGCCTGTCCTGGGGTGTGACGCAGGTAAGAGAGGTCTTCTGCATTTGCGAGCTCGTAGGTGCGAGCAAGGCTCCGCAGATGCGGAGAAAGGGAGTGTAGGCTATCTTCGCAGAAGCGGATCGAGGGTCGTAGAAGCGCTTTCGCATGTACGTAACTTGGAGCGCATGTGCGGAGCCTGTGGACTTAAGTGACTTCCGTAGAAGCAGAACTCTTATCGCAAAAGTGATTCCGCATGTGCGAAGGCACTGGGCAGAACATTAAATTCGAGGGTTTCGTGATTTTTCTCATTTCTGGACTTTTCAAACTCGGTCTAAGGCGATTTTTGAGAGGGATTTCGAAGGGTTTCTTGAGGTAAGTCACTTGTGATCATTTTTATTCAATAATATTATTTCCCTATTGAATTTCCCACCTAGTTTGTGTGTTTTTGAGGTGGAATTTTGAGAGTTTGAGGCTAGGGATTTGGAGAGTTTAATTTGGGGATCTGAGTGACAATTTGGTGTTAGATTTTGGTAAATTTGNGGGTCGGCTTTTGAGTTGACTTTTTGATTTTTGATTAAGAACTTAGTAATTTCATATGGAATTTATTCCTTTAGCTCGTGCTGATTGTATCGAATTGTTTGTGGCTAGATTCGAGGCATTCAGAGGCCGATTCGCGAGGCAAGGGCTTGTTAGAGTAGAGATTTGCTCGATTTGAGGTAAGTATCGTATTTAAACTCGGTTGAGGCACCAATTGCCTGAATTGTTGTGATAACCACGTGCTTTTGGGTGCGCACATACGTGGGGATGATCCCATGTGCAGGCACTGGGATTATACATTCATGTTTGGGTTGTGCTCGGGCTCTTATAAGCCCATAAATGATTGTTAAGCTTTAAGGTTTGATATCTCACTTGTCGTAACAATTTATGTGATCTAGTTGAGCCCTGACGAGGCTACTTAGAGGTTCAACCCCTGAGCGAACTTAATAAATGCTTTGATTATTGGCACGTGAATTATCCGTGCAACACGTGAGTTGTCCGTGCGGATCCACATATTGATATTATTGACACGTGATGTCATGACCCAAAACTTAGCCTGTCGTGATGGCGCCTATCGTGGTACTAGGCAAGCCGACACTTCAAAATACTTCCACATTTTTTGAAAAATAAGAATAACACAGGTTTAAAGCAACAAAACTCTCAAAATATAGAAATTCCCAACATCGGGTGTCACTGAGTACATGAGCATCCAAATATCACAATTCTGGGAGTACTGTCTATGATAGTCTGAAACTAAATACATAAGGCGGAAAGATAGGGAAAGAGAGACAAGGTCTGCGAAACGCTAGGCAGCTACCATGAAATCTCCACACTATCAACTGTGCAAAAGGGTCAACACCCACTGTATCCGGAAATACCTGGATCTGCATACAAAGTGCAGGGTATAGCGTGAGTATAACCAACTCATTAAGTAACAAGACTAAATAAAGGACTGAAAGTAGTGACGAGATTCACAGTTATAGTTCAATTACAGTAATTTTAACATAGGAAGGTAGACATGCTTTCAAGTTCGACAATTTAGGCCACAACATTTAATCCATGTCAAGTTCAGGTAAAACAGAACATAATATCTCTCAGAAATTACAAGACGGTGATATATGACAACGGAACTGCAACTGAAATGAAAGTTAAATGCATCATCTCAGAGCAACAGTCACTCATTCCTCTCAATCACTCAGCACTCGGCACTCGCACTCAGTAGGTACCTGCGCTCACTGGGGGTGTGTACAGACTCCGGAGGGGTTCCTTAAGCCCACGCGCTATAACAAGCCAATCATGGCATAAATCAATGAAACATGTTGCGGCGTACAGCCCGATCCTATAAATATTCTCACAATCAGGCCCTCGGCCTCACTCAGTCATCAACCTCTCCAGTCTCTCGGGCTCTTAGAAATCATGATAATCATTCCACACAGCAATGATATAATGCATCAATAAAACAAATATAGACTGAGATGTAATATGCAAGTAAAACTGTGACTGAGTACAAAATAATATATTAACAGATAATTCAACATGTACACGACCTCTGTGGGTCCCTACAGTGCAAACACATAGTCTAAACATGATTTCTAACATGATTTGTAGTTAAATTTCTCTAATATATGGAGAATGTACGGATAACAACAGATTATTCAACTATACAATTCCATGGAATTGACCAAGTCACAATTTCTACGGTGCACGCCCACACGCCCGTCACCTAGCATATGCGTCACCTCAAAACCGAACATATGATACATAATACGGGGTTTCATATCCTCAGAACTAAATTTAGAACTGTTACTTACCTCAATCCGAGCAAATCTCTACTCCAACACACCTTTGTCTCACAAAACGACCTATGAATGCCTCGAATCTAGCCATAAACAATTCGATACAATCAACACGGGCTAAAGGAATCAATTCTATAAGAAAAATACTACGTTATTAATCAAAACTCAAAAGTCGACTCAAAAGACGCCCCACAGGCCCACGTATCGAAATCCGATAAAAGTCACAAAACTCGAAAGTCCATTCATCCACGAGTCCAACCATACCAAATTTACCAAAATCTGACACCAAATCGCCACCCAAATCCCTAAATCAAACTCTCCAAATCCCTAGCCTCAAACTCCCAAATTCCACCTTAAATACACACAAATTAGGTGGGAAAATCAATGGGGAAACATAATTATTGAACAAATTAGATCACAAGTGACTTACCTCAAGAAATCCCCCGAAAATCCTCTCGAGAATCGCCAAATCCCGAGCTTGAAATGTTTAAAATGGTGAAAAATCTCGGAACCCTCGTTTATAAGATACTGCCCAGGCTTTTCTCACCTGCGGCCAAATAACCGCACCTGTGGAACCGCTTTTGCTGTAAAATCCTCCGCTTATGTGAAAATCACTTAAACCTCCAGGGCCCGTATATGCGCTCCAGGTTCCGCACCTGCGGAGGCGCTTCTGCGGACCACCATCCGCTTTTGCAAAAACAGACCTCGCCCCTTAACTCCGCATCTGCGCTTCAGGTTCCGCACCTGCGGAGGCGCTTCTGCGGCCCACCATCCGCTTCTGCGAAAACAGACCTCGCCCCTTAACTCCGCATCTGCGGAGCCTTGCTCGCACCTGCGGGATCGCAGATGCAGTTACCCCCTCGCACCTGCGCCCTGCCCCAGGCCAGCCCAACTCCACACCTACGCATAATCAGCCGCATCTGCGGCATCGCACCTGCGGTCAACCCCTCGCAGGTGCGATCACACCAGAAGAGTCCCAGCTTCAGCCATGCACTAAGTCCTATTTTCGATTCGTTAACC